CTCCTACCGTGTGCTCAAGTTACTGCCTGAAGTCAGTATTTGCTAGGCCCACTTAATCTCACTTCTGCCAGAGTTGAAACATTCTGCGTACTTTTGCAATATTAGAACTGAAGTCAGTGTTTTAAGGGTCATGTCGCGTTGTCAGTGAGGGCAGCAAGGTGTGTAGACTCGCCTTGTGCAATAGTACAGACAGTCTGACTCGGCTGCAGCAGTTCACCAGTGCCACCTGTCGATGACCCCACCTGGCGGTGAGACACGCCACCAGCGAAGAAGCTCTCGGCTGAGCAGCCGGAGGCTCAAGCACGTGCGCTGCCAGAGCCGTTCACAGGCGCGCGCGCGCGCTAAATATCGATTTTTTAAAGTGCTGACTCAGAAAGTGTAGCGCACGCCTTTGTGCTCACGTAGCGCGTGCCAGGCAGAATAGCACAGGACCAAAACTTAAAATACACTGTTTTGACCTCGTCATCGCACATGTCGAACGCAGTCGTAGTGCTGCAAACAGCTCGAAAGAAAACCGGTGAGAAATATTTGTGTTATGCACGATTTCTGGGAGTAGGCGGTAACCGAGAGAGAGAGAGAGAGATATGGCGGCAAATTTTATGGATTTGATCAAAATGCAAACCCAGGAAGCACTATGAACATGACGAGAGTCAAAGCCACCTAGGAAAAACAGACCCCCTGTCTTCGAGTGGATTTCTTTCTATGCTAATGGTACGTTTACCGGTGGGGTAACGGGACTCGCTTGTCCCGCCGCGTCTTGGGGCTCAATGTCAAACGTCCGCAGGTAATCACACAGCGACTCGTAGTGTATGCAGGGGAATACCAGTGAAGACAAGGGAGACCGGGATGGAAGTTTCTGGGTTGTTAGCCGTCTTCAGTTAGCCCTGCTCAAATGCAGGTTTGCCTCATCTGTGCCTTGAACTCGCCTTTCCTGGTCATCGAGCGTCGTTAAGCTCAACGCTCCACAATCAAACCCCGGGTTTGTTATTCCGTCGTTTGCAAACAGGAATATAAACTATGCTGGAAGTGAGTTCGCCGATCGGATTACGACCCGTTGCGTCTTGGGGGTTCGACGCAGATCCCGGCCCGGTCTCCCTAATCTTTGCCAGTCCCATCTCACCTACACATACTACTAGTCGCTGTGCGACTGCCTACGAGGGTTCGACATTGAGCTCCAAGGGACAACGCGAAGAGTAGGTCCCCTAACCCGATCAGTAAACGCACTTCTGTCGCGGCAGGCTTTAGTCACCACAGCATTCTTGCCCGGTCCCGGTCCCGGTTCGGCGAAGTCGAACGCCGATAGATAGATAGTTATATTCTGTACAGCATGAATGGAGAATAGGTTGGAATAAGTTGGTAGCTGGACAGCGGACACAGGTACGCTATAGCGAGAGCAGGCACAAGAGTGCCTTAAGAGAGGATACGCCCGAGTCGGCCTTGAAATGAATTTGCCGGATGAGAACCAGACTGCCATTGGTACGCGTGAGGGACGCAACGTTGCAACAGGCGCCCGGAGTAGGGTTTCTTCACTTCCTCTGACACTAAGACTGCCCTTCATGCATGGTTTTTTCCCGAAAGTTACGCTTGAGTTTAGGTGAGAATAAATTGGAAATGTGGCGTTACAAAGGGGTAACAGACGTCCTGACGAAGGACACTGTCGACTGAAATGGCTAATAGGAACATCATTAAAACCCCTCTCTCCCCAAAGTCATGGTGCTCTTCAGTGATCCCAATAGGAAAGTGTGGGTATGTCCTGTTTGCCAAGAAGTTATTGATCAACTTACGCCTAAAATTCAAGTCTTCTCAGCCTGCAGATCGGAATGACTGATCGATAATGACAAATATGTCAGTATCAGTCAACTAAGTCCCTACCATCTTTGTCGGCATTCATTCTGCGGTATTGATCGCTGAAGAGAGAGTATCTCTTGGTTTGAAATGTTCCTAATTATGAGATTTTTCAGACCGCGAAATGTCCATTCATACAGCGTCGCATCAACACGTTTAGTAATGCTACTTATATAGTATGTATGAAACCTGGTCCACGTCCATTACCAAGTCCTATGACTCCTACATGACGTCTTCCTAACGGCTTAAAGAGATGTGTGATATTTTTTGACGGAATGTATACAGCATGTTGCTTAAAAATCCTAAGTGCAAGTGTAACAGCAGGTGGGACAAAAATAATTCGAGAGTTAAAAGTTTCTACATACCGGAAATGTCCCTCTCTTCAAGAAGAAAATTTGAAGGAGACGTAATTTCCTACCAGACGAGCACAATGGAGAATATTTTAATGTTTTTATGCAATACATTTGAATCTACTAATCGAAAAAAGTCTCGCACGAAAGTCGACATCCTGGCTTGACTGGAATATCTTGGGATTTGGCTGCATGATAATTAATATTTCAGCCTTCTTAAGCATTCTTTCAGAGTTGGAAGTATATTTCAGAACCTCGGCTAACATTTCATGAGGTGCGAAAATTCCCATTGAAAAATCCAAGAGGCAATTTGGCGAGCATACGTCTGCTCTCGATAAATTCTCTTCAGGCCTGTACATTTATATGGCTATTGGAGTAATGAATTGAAAGATACGGGCAAGTAGGTAATTATGCTGTAGCTCGGGGTTGGGAAGCGGGGGGAGGGTGAAACACCAAAATTCCAGCCGGTGCCAGGGCGAAGGTGGGCCCCCCGGGCAGATAATTACATGCGGGTGGCTGGCTTGATGACTTTGAACCATGACAACTGTGAGACCTGTATGAAGTTCTTCTGTGCGCATAGGACCGGTCCGCGTAGCCTGATTGCAGCCGCCTCTGCCATAGCCAACAAGCGCCGCCCAAGTAGTTTTGGATAGCCTGACGGGACCTTGTAAATCACTCTGAAGGCCTCTCTGACGTCTACACGGTGCTCTGTGTCTATCATGTGCGCGAGGAACGAGCTGTTAATGGTCTTTATTTGACCCCTTCCTAACTGTGCTGGAAGGTGTTATTTTATTCTTCTGGATAAACGCCGGCTCGTGCGACCAATATATTCTGCCTCACAGAAGCAGTTGAAGGAGTAGATGCACATAGATGCGGTTTGAGCTGGTAGTTTGTCTTTGTCCTCTCCGTGTAGGATGGGACTAGTGGAGAAGAGTACACGGGTGTCAGCTGCTGGAAAGGTCTGTGATACAGCTTGAGTTAGGCGTCCTCTTAAAAGTTCACTTGGCCCGTCACCTTGAACTGGGACCCTGGTGCAGAGCCTTTTCTTTCCTGCCGTCAGTATCGGGGTCTTTGGTGGTCTTTCGGTCATGTTCTTAGCAATGAATCGATCGGGACATGTGGCGCTAGTTGACACTACAGAGGCTTAAGTTTCTCCGCCAGCCATTTAATTATTGCATGGTACGACGAGTTCTCATATCGAGGATTGGACGAACCGGTGCGTAATCTTTGTGGATCTTTTAAAGTTAGCAGAGTTGATAATCGTCCGACGGGAATTTAGAGGTTTCACTCTCCCCCTCCCCCCTCCCCCCTCCGCCCCCCAAACCCGGGGTACAGCATAATTACATAGTTGCCCGTATCTTTTAATTCATTACTTCAATAGCCATATAAATGCACAGGCCTGAAGAGAATTTATCGAAAGCAGACGTATGCTCGCCAAATTGCCCTTTAAATTTCATGAGATAATGTACTCTAAATGTTGGGAGACATTTCGTAAAACTCTCTTTTGACAGATTCCCTATTTGGAGTTAAAAGTGAAGATTTTCACGAACAATTTTGCAAAATGTAATTCTCAGTGGTCCCTTTTTCTGTGATTTGAGTCCTCACTTGTTCGGGTAAATTACTGTTTTCCTAGGTTATCATTAAAGCACCTTAAACCTCTTGGGGAGATTCTATCAACTAGTAAATTTCAAGACATTAAATTAGCGACATTGTTAAGGAGCTAACCCAATGGTATTACCGACAAAGACAAGGAAGACTGGAATGGCCGTTTCTGGCCTATTAGCCGTCGTCAGCCAGTCATACCCAACCCCGAGGTGTGGAACACCTGGGGGTCGAACTCGCGGCCTGTTCGTTAGAAGTCCAACGCCTCTAACCAATGAACCACGGGCCCGTTGTTGTGTCGGTTGCGATCGGGAATATACAATGGTCGAGGAGCGATCACCGATCATTTCTACGGAACTCACTCGTCCCGTAGTGCCCTAGGGCACTCTCCCAGGCTAATAAGCCAGAACTGGCCATTCCAGTCTCCCTTGTCTTTGTCGGTAATAGCATTCTGCCTATATAATGCGCCGCTGTGCGGCCGCTGGCTGGGCTCGAGAGAGAGCCCGTAAGGCACAGCGGAACGAGTGAGTTCCGCAAGAACGATCGGTGAGCGCCCCCCTACCAAGCTAACCCAATATTTTTTCTGAATTCCCTATTTTAGTCGGTCTACTTCCGTAATAAACATGCAATGGACGACTTCCTCGACGACCTCGAGAGGACCCTGATCCTACCAAATTACGATGGTGGAAGACTTGCAAAAGCATATGAGAGATTCATGCGGACAATCGTACTCGTGCAACGTAAGCAGTAGTTTCTCTGAATCTGTATTATTAATCCTAACGCTAAACAATAAGCCCATAAAACACTCAAGGTTATTAAGGTTAAATGGCCGACTGTCATTGTACATGATCCATAAGTCTGACGATGAACTGGGGACTCGTTTCAGAAATTTACGCATTATAGCTTGTTTTGTTCCCAAAGAATCTCACCCATTTCAAACAACGTTTCTTGGGATGTCCGCATGGAGACGGAGTCAAGACACACACTTCCCACATGCTCAGGAGTCCACATTTGGGTGCTTGTGGTGGGTGATGTTGATGTGCGCTGAGATGCTGGTGAGGGAGGATGTGATGGTGTGGTGCAGCCCGCGGTTGCTTGCCGCAGGTTTTTTGCGGATTCGCATGTGGCCGAAGAGGCTCCTTCGGTTCACGAGTGTGAGAGTGCAATGTGGGCAGTGGGGGCGGTTGCGGCGAGTGCAGATTGCTACTCCAGGCACTGGCTCGCCAGTCTCTGTGAGATTGACTCACGAGTGACCGACCAGGCCGATGCGTGGGATGAATGAGCGGGGGAAGGGTGGACATGAGAAGTTGACGGTGTCAATATCAGCAACGGTAATGGTGGTGGTGGTGGGCGTGCGGGTGACGGGGTGTAGGTAGGGCTGAGCGTGGTGGGCGTGGAGGATGCACTGGGTGTGATGGAACTGGTGGCCGTGGGCGCGCTGGGCGGCGGAGTGAAAATGGGGCTAAACATAGTATTCGGCTTTGTTGGGGGTCGCTTACCTTGAGGTCTCCTGCGAGGCTGTAGGCGAATACGAATCTTCGTGATGACGAGGCGACGGTCGGTCCGCCCGTCAGGGCCCGTGATTGCCTTTGTCACCAGCACGTCCCGCTGATCTCGCCTCCGGACGAGGACATTGTCCAGCAGGTGCCACTGACGCGACCGAGGATGCCTCCAGGTGGCCTTCTCTCGCATCGGGAGGCGGAATAAGGTGTTCGTTAGGGTGAACCGGTGTTCGCCGCAGGTTGGTAGAAGGTGCAGGCCGTTGTCATTGGAGCCGTCGAGGCTATGAGGACCCAGCACTCCTCTTCTGGCAATATGGTCTGTGCCGATGCGGTTGTTGAAGTCACCAAGGACAATCAACTTATCTGCCCTCGACACAGGCGCCAGAAGGGCGTGCGGGTCCCCGTAGAATTTGTGCCTTGCGGTGTCAGAGCTGGTCATCGGCGGAGAGTAGACGCTGATGGTGGTGGCGAATCCGCCTCCCCGTAGAGGCAGGCGAAAGCTCCTCAGACGATCGTTGATGCTTTGCAGCAGACAAAGCAGGCGTCCCGCCGGTCGAGGCGGTTACCAGGGTGTGGCCGCTAAGCAGAGCTTAACTTCGGGGAGTCACAGTTGAGAGTTGGGTGCCAGCAAATGCACGCTAGGCGTAGTCTGCACCTGCAAACAAATGAGCTACCTACATAATACGCCCGTCACGTGAACCCACCGCTGGACACCCCTACACCCCGACTGCAGCCTAAACCACTAGATACCTCACCCTTCGTCAAATATAACGCACACAAATTGAATACCAATTCAGCTTGCCCAACAAAGCTATAAGAGTTGCTGCCGCCACTTGTCTGTCACATAACCTAGCCTCGCCAGAGACCACTGCTGCCTGCGAGGACAACTCAAGGTTCTGTGTTCAATAAACTCCACCATTCTGGTGACTTCCGTCCCTTCCTACAGCTTGGGTGTTAGTCTGATGGTTGTAGCGATCTGAACACGCTCACTGTTTAGATGTTACAGGCTCATTCGGTTGTGTCACCCAAAATGCAAGTTTGTCAGCACTTGTAAATTCGTACCCACCTTCCCGTTCGGGGGGAATTTTTGTCGGTTGTGGTTATGTAGCCTCATCCAAAGTAAACAGATCCCAGCCACCTGTAATACGGGAGCGGTGGTGATGGGTGTCTTTACAGGTGGGACCGGGGAACGCACAGGTGACGAGGTCAAGTATCCTTATGCAAAATAAAAGCTATTGGAAATGCACGGTTGTACCTTAAGTGGTTGAGAAATAGTTGCCCTAACCCCAACCCCAGCAGTAGTGTGTCCATCAGGTGGGGCCACATAACCACATCTTGCAGAACCTTTAGGAAAAGGGAATGAACGGCGACACTGGTAGTTCGGCTGTAGAACTCGAAGATAGTGATAACTTGAAGAAAAAGACGGGCTCATCGGAACGGGTTTATTTAGATGCTGACGTTTCGAAGAGCTTGGTCGGCTCTCCATTGTCAAAGCGTAAAATGCACTTAATCGACCAGAAATCCCAAGTGGCATGTCACGTTGGTCGGTATCATGCTGATCGATTTTCCTCTCCTCTCGCTGCTTCGGCCTCTCGGGGGGATGGTTGACGGACGTTCTGTCTGCGTGCTTTGTGAGTCACCACTCCGTCGGGGGGAGGTGATTGAACCCTTGTCGGATGGTCGGTCTGGCGGTTCTTGTTCTTCCTCACCGAGTGAACTCGTCGTCGGGCTGTTTCCCTATGGCCTTCTTAAGTCCAGTGTGGTTGTTTTGTCCTGAGCTCCACGACTGTGATGACGTAGGACTGGAAGGTAGCGGTAACTACCTTGGGGGAACAGGGGGGATCTGGGATTGAGTTGTATTACATGGAGAAGGAGCCGCGGAGCACACTTCCCACTTGCGTGGGAGGGGTTGTACTAGATTGAGGGAAACAGCATTGACGGCGCCCCCCCCCCTTCCACCAGCTCATCGCGACTAGTGGCCGGACTGACTCAAAATGGCCAGTGACTAGAAAGGGTGTAGGGGCAGACTCGACATGAGATTTCAGTGTGCAAGTACTACGTCACGGCGGTTTCTTCCGTCACTCGCACTCAGCGCAGGTCAGCTGGCATGAGCTGAGCGTCAGACGGGGTCAGAACACAGTAGCCAACCCGTGTAGCAAATCACTTGTGCGACTGTCAACAAACAAAGTGACTATCTCCTCCCGCTGACATCACAAACTTCTCATGTAGTACACAGCGGTTTAACTGATGATGCTGGTGGTGATTATGATGACGATGATGATGATGATGATGATGGTGGTGGTGGTGGNTGGTTTCTTGCCGGTTGAATAGCACCTACTTGATCATCCACACCTGTCTCTCTGTGAGCACATCTCTATTGTCCGCGGAAAAATGACTGCCCCAGCATGCGTATTGCGCGTGACTCAACACACGGTGTTACCCGGAGGCAGCTAGAACTTTAATTCTGGTGCATATCCTATAACTCTCTAAGATGACGAGCAAGTGATTGGCTTACTGGCTAGAACAGTCTCCGCCGATGTTGGTTAAATGGTTTGACTGGTATGAATGTACAGTGTTACTCACACTGCTTCCTATGAGGATTTTGTTTGTTCAGATTTTTGTTTGTCCAGTATGTCTCCACACTAATCGGAGGACGCCCATAAGCTTTTTATTCGCACCCCCCCTCAATCGTTTGGTTTCCATACGATCAGAATGCCAACAAATCCCAACAAATGCCGGAAGCCCCTTTTGTTTCCCCTAGGCCATATGACTTAGTATGCGCCTACCGCGCGATGCCTTATCAATTTCTTTCCGTTTTAATGTTTAGGCGAATGCAGAAAAACCAGGAGATGCAAATCCGGAGTCTGTCCCAACGCATGCAACAGTGGAGAAGCACCAAACACCTCATGGATCGTACAGTCAGTGAATACATCTCAGCTGCCAAACAGGACTCCGTAGGGGGCGGATCACAGACAAGCGAACCCACACGTGACCTGCTCCAGGGGTACCCAGCGATGCCACTACAGCGTCTGCATGAGATCGAGGGACTCGGAGTCGTAAGATCGGACGAGAGCGACGACCTTCCTCCGCAACCACCGCCGCCCCTGAGGAAGCCCAAACTCTCTGAAGTGGAGCTTGAACAGCCCGCACAGAAGTCTCGACCCGCAGCCCCCCAGTACAGTTTCGGTGCTCGCGTCCGCGAGGGGTCCGGCCGTGGCCTCGCTGTTATTCGCTGCCAGACACAAGGCAGCCGGAGTTTTGTCTTCCAGCAGTCCGTGGAGCCGCGGCAGGCAATGGTTTCGCTCGGCGCCAAAGACACTCGAGACATTAACACCTTTGTCGGCGTGATAAACCAACCTGCCAAGGTGCAGGTGGATCTGGATGATCTGTCACAGTACGAGGTGGTGTCCGGCGCAGCTCGAACAAGAGGCAGCATGCTGAAGAGAAGCGTCAGTACCAGTGACCTTCAGACACAAATTACGTCCATTAGAAACAATTCTTCCACTCAGTACGAGCCAGCATATGAGGGCGAGGACCCTCTACGCCTGAACGAGGGCGATTTCTCCACGGCACGACGGTTTAAATCCGGCGGTCAAGAATACCCTAGCCAACGCCCTAAGACATCCGACGTGCAGGCGCAAATCTGCAAGAATGTCCGCGACCGAGGCAGTCAGGTTGGCGTGGTTGTTATTCCCACTGAAATCGATATCTCTCGCGTAGAGCTGGATAATCTGGGCCTAGAAGTCCAGCCGTCGAGAGAGGCGGCCGCCTTGGGACTGCGTGTCGGTACTCTGCTCTGTCCTGCGTCCATTGGACAGACCATCAAACTGCGCGACGCACCAGGCATCGAGGTGCTCGGTGTCAAGGATGTGAACTCCATGCGTGTGCGGCACAAGAATATGGTTGCAACCGCCGTCAATTCCACAAAACAGCGCCCCGGGCGAGACGTGGAAACGCAGATTATGACCGTGCACAAGTCCTCCAGGAGTCAGTGCGACTCCACTGAAGATGTCACGGCGGGCAAGGAACGGCCTCCTGACGGAAATTCTAACCTTGGAGAAGTGCAGACTCAGATTGGAATCCTCAAAAATACGGCCTCTGTGCAGGCGGTGGCGGCGATGCAGGTTATGGACGTGCCCTCATTCGGGACTAAAAAGAAAATCGCCTCCGGTGCCGTAGAGGCTGCAACTAAACTCACCATCATCCCAGAGTCCATCGCAGTGACGGCCGAAGAGCAAGCTACGAGATCTCCCGAATGGGAGGAGGAGGAGGAGAGCGCGGAAGCAAACGACGTAATGACCCAGATTGGCTGTATCTTGCACTCCCGCGGCCTTCACACGGATCTGCGCAACTACCTTTCTGACTATTCTGCCCAAAGTGGCGCCAGTCGGACAGACCAGCTAGACCTTTCCACACAGATCGGCGTCCTAAGGCGGGAACAGGAACCGACGGAGATGGATGCGCAAGCCAACCGTTCTGCCACAACGGCTGACTTGCAGACACAAATCCTGCCCGTAGTCTCTGACGAGGGCGTACAGGCCGGTAGGAGTGGGACTTTTGAACATGCCGCTATCAGCCAGGGGAAGATTTCAGCCAAAACAACAAGCAGCATCTCTGCATTTGCTCCTCAGGCCGGAGAGGAGGCGGAAAGGATGATCGGTCGAAACTTCTCGGACTGCAGTACGCAGGTCTCAACCAAACTTATTCCCACTGAAGTATCGCTTTCCAAAATTGGGCTCAGCACGACTGAGGTGTCTTTTAAGAACAGTCAGCAGTTCGAAGCCCTAGGACTTCCAACCGACTCCATAATCTATCCCGGAAAAATGAAGTACGACACTCAGCTGTCTGAGGACGGCAGCTCTATTGAGGTAGCCGACGTCAGTGAAGTAAGCAGGTTCCTCGTCACCAAGGAAGACCAAACCGTCATAGCTCACCTGACGTCAGCAAGCAGATCTACCGTCTCCGGCGATGCGCAGACCCAAATATTTACCCTGGACAAAGAAAGAAGTGTACAAGCGGCAATGGTACTCAGCTCCGCCAGTACGCACGGCTACGGACTAATGTCTAGTCAGTCTTTCAGTGAGCAAACTTCTAACTCCAGCGCGCGCCTGATGTCGACTACTGACAGAAATGCTCAGACTAATGGTCCACCCTTCACCGACCTTCAGACCCAGATCGGCACTTTAGCGGAGAGAAAGGCCAGCACAAGAGATTCCAAAGAACAGACCTTCCCCTCGTACGCCTCCTTGCTTTGCACCCAGTGTAGACGCACACTGGAAGACCTGAACGCCCAAGAAACTCAACTGGGCGCGCCCAATCGGCTGAATAATGCGATCTGTGAGGAGGAGATCGCACCCCGACGAGACGTAGCAGGTGCGGTCAGTGTCGGACCCAGCCGCGAAATTGAGTCCTGGTCTACGAAGCCGGAAAGCAAGTCCACCGTCGACAACATTAACCAGATCTGTAGGGTAACCCGACATGCCAGTGTTCAGGTGGGAGTTGAAATGACGCCAAGTAAGATTTGTATGAGCAGATTTGACGCAGAAAATGCGCAGATAATGGCAACAGACGTTAGTGAGCCTGGGAATGAGCAGGAGGAATGCCTTGGAAGTCTAGATGCCATCATCTATCCAGCACGAATGAAAGTCACAACGAGGCTCGTAGACGGTGCCTCCGGATTCCAACTCATGCCGTTTCCGCAAACCGAGATGGTGACCCTCAGCGTCGATAACGCTGGACGAGGTCCTAACATCACCTCTTCTACTTTCGCCACTAGGAATTCCTCTGAAGATGCATTCACCGGCTTGGATTCTGCCCCGAATGAAGAGCTAGACGCCTACCTGGTACTGGACAGTCAATCTAAGAGCCAAGCGTCAGTCAGTAAGAGTTCGCTGAGAAGACTCTTGACTAAGACCGTTAACTCGACCAATCTGCGCCTGGTGCCGGTTGTAGGCAGCCATGTTTCCGAATCGAAAATAAGACCCTCAGTCCCCCTCACTGACACTGTCTGTCAGATATTTAGGCTCGTAGCCGATGCAGGGGTTCAGGTTGGAGCCCGGCTTGTTCCACAAGAACTTTCGCTCTCAAAGGTAGGCATGGAAAACGTTGAACTTAACCTGACGAATAGAGAGTCCTTCGCAGATCTCCAGGTGCAAATCGATTCCCTTCTCTATCCCCTGGATGTGAAAATGTCAACAGAACTCTGTGAAGGAACTGGCATCACCATCGCCCAGCTTGATGAAGTAGCTCAAATCTCGATCAGCAGTACCAGCGGTGCCCTAGAAGATAATATGGCAGTGACAGGGAACGACGGGCCTACGACTGCGGAATCAGGACCCTCTGGGGGCAGCACGATGCAAAAGCCTCAAATGAATGACTTACAGACGCAGATTTTACATGCAGATATGCGGCCGAAGCTGGGATCTCTTATGGCCGTCGATCCCGCGAAGGCGAGGTCAGCGGCCGGCAAGTCATCCGTGCCATCTGTGGCAGAGTTTTCATACCTACTGAAGGATCACAAAAGCAAGAAACGACTGTGCATCGTTGGCACGAGCGAAACACCTAGAGCTTCAGCTGACTACATTGGGCGGGTGTTGACAAAAGAGGTCGAAGCGCTCGCGAAAGAACGGCACACTGTCGGGGAGACGATAAATCAGAGTTGGCCACCTCTTCGAGGTCGTGACGAGAGCTGTCAAGTTGGCGTTCGTATGATTCCAACTTCGGTGGACCTATCACGACTAGAAGTTGAGAACCTGAGTGTGGAACTAAGTAGACCGGAGAAGAAGAGTGCACTTAAACTGGCAGTGGGATCCTTCCTGTACCCAGCCAACATTCAAATGAAAAGTGAACTCTATGACGGCAGTGGGGTATGCGTCCAGTCACTGACAGACACCACTGAAATTGCCCTAAGAACAACAACAGAGGGACGAGTGAAGGAAGTTCAGGAGGCAATGCAGGAGCAGCAGCCTCCCACGACGGGTTCAACGAAAAAGAAGGGCCTTCTGACTGGCTGGTGGCAGAATATTTCCCACCCGAAGGCTGAAGACGCCGTATCCAGTCAGTCGAGCACGGCTACTTCAGCCAAATCAACGCTTGAAGTGTCCTTCACGCCCCTGTCCGGGACATTTAAACAAGGCAGACAGTCAACTTCCAATGAGGCCGTCCTGCGTGCTGCTGCCGTAATCGAAACCATTGGGGAGAGAGAGGAGGAGAATGAGGCGGAGTTGAGGGCAGTGAGAGAGGTCATTCAGGGTGCAACTGTGGAAACTGAATTCAAGATTGGGACTCTGCAGTCAGGAGAGGAAAAGTACCCAGCGAGCGGGAAGTTTGACGGCACAAAACAGTTGGGGGTTCTGAGAACTGTTCGAAATTCACCACCTGAGCTGCGTGAACAGGCGGTCCAAGTCGGTGTGTTGATGGTACCGGAGGAGATAGTGATCTCATCCATAAATTTGGAGAATATGAATCTGGAGATAAAGAGCCCAGAACAGGCAGAGAGTCTGAGCCTACGAGCTGGCTCCCTTCTCTACCCAGCAGAGCTGAAGATGCGGACAGAACTAAGTGAGGAAACCGGTGGAATCAGTCTTACTGGGATGACCGAAATTGGCAGTATTCAAATCTGTGACGGTGAGAAGTTACTGAATGGCACAATTGAGAAGCGCGTCGACGGTAGGCAAACTAGTGTGCGTCAGGCAGTTGGTGGTCACCGATACGACCTCCAGACACAGGTTGGCCCTCTCACCGCAGATGTCAAAATCCCGGCAGCTCTAGTAGCGGAGTCTACTACGGTCCCACCTATGCCAGGCTTGCCACTGTTCGGTTCTACTGAAACCGTTGCCAGGATGTTGAAGACGTCCGAGGGGTCTGCCATTCGCACAACCCTCACAGTGAACACCCAGAAACCGCACAGTCAACTGGAGAAGGTTCAGGCGGATCTCTCCCAAGCAGGCTCGAAGTTCGCTCACCAAACAACTGACATGCGGCCGGCCGAGGTAAAACACATTAATGTCGTTATGCCGGGCACAGGCACTACAGGGCTGGCTGATGGACAGACAGGGGGTGTGAGTGCCGTTCTCACTTCATCCGGTGCCCAAGTTGAGCCGGCGCCAACTGTACAGGCGGATGTTCAGGTTGAGGGCACTGAATGTGTGATGCCGATCAAAAGACACTACGAGGAGAACGTCAGTCATGCCAACGTAGATACAAAACTCGAGGGAAGCCTTCAACAAACCGCTGATACGCCTACCAGAGTCGAACTTAACTATGTCGTCAGTCCTCAGAATGAGCTTGCGACGACGCGGAACGTCAGACCACCGCCACCACCGGTGTCACCACGACCTCGCATTAACATGCAGCAAGTCCAGTCTAGTCGCCCGGAGTTGTTGGTGTCGTCGCAGGTGTCCCACGCCAGAGTCGCCACTAGAGATGCCAGCCATCAGGTCGGTGCTGTTCTGGTTCCCACTCGTCTCAGTCTGGAGCAGATGCGTCTGAACGCCAGCCAAATAGAGGCACAAACGCGACGGGCAATCTCAAATTTGGAATTGCCGCCGAGCACAGTACTTTGCACCAGCGACATGTATCTCTCCACCGTCCTGACGGAGTCTGCTGGAATCAGTCTAGTCAACACAAAAGTGGGTTCTGACGCTGAAGTGCAGTGGAACAAAGGCGTGTGCGTGGACGAATCGGTGCATCCAAAGACTGCGCCTGCTCAGATCTGTCTAAGCCTAGAACCGGGGGCGGTGACCACTGTTGCTGGAGTCAACCAGTCCATTGAACAGATCACGAATGGGGTCTTCAGTGCGTCCCGGCAAGAGGCCATGACACAGGATGTCAAACAAGAGGCGACAGGCAAATCAAGCACCAGTGTCTCCAACCGACAACAGCGATGCGTCTTCGACGCCGCAGTCCAGGTTGGCACGCTTCTTGTTCCAACCAAAGTCCAAATGGAGCGCATCGGCGTGGACAACCTTGAGCTCAGCGTGCCGACCAGCAAGGAGGACCTTTATCGGGAAGGCAACAGCGCTAACACCAGCACAGATATCGCAGTAAGCGCAGTCCTATGCTGTTCTGACATAGAAATCACTCCAGTTCTGACAGCCAGCACCGGTATTCAGGTGGCGAATCTTCGCGAAATAGAGGAAATTGACATTCAGGTAGAAGACGAAGTCTACACAGCAAATATCAACAGAAGCAGTCTTCAAAATCGACTCTATGTAGGAAAGTACACTGGAGAGAAACCACTGACGGTGCAGGGGCAGGCCGTTGCAGGAGAAATGAAATGGACCAACAAAACAGTCAACAGCGACGAAGTGAAATATGCACAAGTTGGCAGAGCGCAAGATAAGGCCATGATAAATAATGATTTCGAAGGCCGATACGCGAAAACCATATGCCAAGCGGATGAAGAGGCTAGAAATATATATAAAGCCATTAAGGAGGGAAAGGGGGAAGTTAGACTACGCAACAAGAGCGTCAGAAGAGAGACAACAGACCGACAAACCACAAACGCAGACACTGCAGAGGTACAAGCATCAAACGAAGACAGCGCACAACCCGTCCCTCCAAAATTGGACTTCTCCTCACAAGCCGGCTCCATACTCATTCCCGCAGTTGTGGACACCAAACGCATCGATCTCCAGGGCGCAGAGTTGACAGTCAAAAACGACACCGCTGTGGCCTCCCACGAAGTGAACATCCCCGTGACCTCACTCCTCTGTGCCAGTACATCGGAACTCCAGTCTGTAATCACTACTACCAGCGGTCTGCAGATGATGAGTCCGGCTAATGCCCAGTCGTACAACCTCCAGCAAGACAAGAAAGACACCCTAGTCACGGCGATTGGCCATCCGGCGTCAACAAGCCCAGGGAAGGATACGGCTACCTCGAGACGCACGACTCAGATCAGC